CTCGGCATCCTCCTGGTCCTCCGGCAGCAGCAGTGGCCGCGATCCTCTAAAACCGTGACTGTGCAAAAATGGGTACTTCTGAGTTACCATGGCAACTGCTGCTCTCCCGGCCGCTGAAGCAGCACCCAGTCTAAAAGCTGCCAACTTCGCAACTGGATTTGAAATGAAAAAGATGTAAAGGGGAGATCTAGACTAACCGCTGGAGGCAAAGATAATTGCAAAAGATTGGCTTAATATTTCTTCCTCTGCCACAAATTCCCAGGCAATGACATCTCCAGCGTATCCAGGCCGAGCTCAAATCCCCGGCTGCCCTTCGGGCAGGAGCTGGGGAGCTGCAGAGCCCTGCCCGCCCCGGGGGGCTGCAGCCGGCTGCACAGCACCGTGCCGCGGGATCGACACAGTCCCTTAATCTAAAATCTAACCCTGAGTTTAGAAGAGGCAAGACAGAAACCAGCCTCTGCCCCAAAACGTTCTTGGCCCCACCTGCTGTTCATGCAACGGCTGAAGCTGATGCTCTGCTGACGCTGATGGTCTCCAGCAGCTTTCCACAGGGTTTTACCAAAACCTTCAGGGAAAAAACCAGTGGCTGGGGGATGAAGAGCTCTCCTCCTTGCCAGAAGATGCCTCAGCACATGCAAGACTTGCTCTTCCCGCTCACCTCTGCCATGCCAGCTTAGCTGGTAAAGCCTTGACTTAAAAGAGAGATGGGAATTCAAGAGCGTGTTGAAGCAGTTGCTCGAGTAAAGCTCAAGGGCTTCCAGCAGTAAAACCAAAGGGCAGGGCAGAGAGCTGAGGTTGGGTGGCCACTCGTTGGCTTCACATCACCTACCCACTGGTATCAGTGCCAGGGATGTGTTTGAGGAGTAAGAAACCCTAAATAAAGCTGTGCAGGAGTTGTGCGTGTGTCCTGCCCAGAGGGAGAGGTCCCGGCACCTCCCGCTTCCGTCAGCAGCCCCTGCCCTCTGCCACCGGCAGTGAGGATCAACATGGCTCCTCTGTCACCAAGGCAGTGACGCAGCAAGACTTTCATCTCCTAAGGACACTACCGACTGGTAAAGGAACCCATCTAACAAACACAGAAAAAAAAAAAATAATTGTCTTCAAACCTACTTTCTGGTGGGTCCAGAGCAGACCGGGACATCAGAGCCACTTTGCACCTTAGGGTGCAGAGTGGAGCGAGGACGCCTGCAGTGGTACGGCATTTCATAGCATGAAATGAAAGGTTCTCCTTTATGCTGCGAGTGTTTCCTGAAGACAAGATTGCATTTGGCCTCTGATTTAATGTTTTCTTTTCCTCTCTCCCTTTTTAAAGCAGCCCACTTGTGGCTTTCGCCTCGCCGACCTCAGGCCCCAAACCGAGGAGCAGAGGAACGGGGCAGAGGTCGGTGTCACCGCTGCACGCAGCCCTGCCCAGGGGATGAAACCCCGAGGGAGAGCTTGAACACCCTGGAACCAGACTTTAGAACGGACTTAACACCGTTGTGTTTATGGCAACTGAACAAACCTAAGCCAAAGCAGAAAGAAGCCGCGTCCTCACCGAGGTCACAGCACTCACGCTGTGCTCTGCATCCGTTTAGCTCAACCAGTTTCGGCACAGATCTCACTAAACCGTAAGACCAGTCCCAGCCAGGCCTGATGGCTCCATCTCCTACGGAGATGGCTTCTACACCACGACATGTGCAGTTGCAGCCAGGAGAAAAGAATGACTCTGCTGAACTGAAAAAGGCCAAAGCCAAACCCAGCATGCCCCAGCTCCTTCCCACCACAAACCTCTGCTTCTTGGCCCAAAGGGAAAAGTAAAATTAACAGCAATGATGCAACTTGGACCTCTGTCTCACGCACTTTAGCCAGCAAAACAATGTGGAGAGTTCCTGTTTCTAGAAGACTTTCAGATCCCCGCACATTTGTGCGATACTATACGAGCATTTCTTAGCCTGCAGGTCAAAGTGCAATATTTTCTTTAAAAATTTGAAGATTCTCTTAAATATAAAAATGAAAGACTTAAAAAGAAACAGCTTGTCTTGCTAGAAAGCTAGGTTTTCAATGCAAATTGCACAGGTACAGAGCAGACTGCTGTGCCTGCAGCCCTGGTTTGTGTCGTGTTCACTTCTCGTCTGTCCCTTGCCCACTCCCAACACTGCCCAGAAAACTCCAGTGACGCGGGTACAGGTCAGGCTCAGACGTACCATAAGGCAACTGGTCTCCTTCACTGGGCAGTTCAGCCAGCCTGTGCCTCCCCATTTTCGGGGAGATAATCTCTACCATCCATCACTCGAATTCTCAAAATATTTCTGCAATAAACACAGGAGAAAATGCCAGGACCGTCTTACCAGTGTGTCGCAAACTCCCTTGCTTTCATCCCATGCCTCGTGACGAAGGACGTGCTGCTTCACATTCCCAGGTCCTTCAGAGGGATCAGACCCAGCTTCTTTTCAAAGCTCCCCTCCCCAATCCTAACCCTCGTTTCTAAGTGCCCACACTGGAGAGAGGCAGGAGCCAAAAGCCTAAACCCTCAGCAGCTGAAAAGCCGCAAGACAAGATCATGGTGCTTACCATTTTCACGTAATCTTATTATTTTTAAGCCAGTCAGGGGATTTTGGAGACTTAACCCATTATTTTAAATGCTTGGATTTGGCAGTATTGTGATTATTACTGTTATCATATCTGTACGTACTGCACACGATGCTGAGGAATAACACAAAGCAATAAAAGCCAAGTTATAGTTACAAGGAGGGAGAACATATGTTTATAGCAGAAGCAGCCAACTGAAGTTTCAGTTTTTATAGTCTAAGATGTGACTAATGCACTAAATATACACACACACATATACACACACACAGTCTGAGAGACTGGGATTTCAGAGCGCTCTTGGTGAGCTGGGTAGGCACTTCTCATCGCAGAGCAACAGGACTCAGGCATGTAATTCCTCCTTTGCAAAATCACAGCTGCCTTTGCCTTTAGAAATGAGGCCGGTCGGAAACCTGAGGACCTGCTTGTAAACCGCCCAACCCGGCATCCATCCCCGGCAGCGGCCAGAGCGCGGCCGGCTGCAGGAGCAGAGCTTGGGGAGGCAGGAGAGGGGCTCAGTCCTCCAGCCAAGTGGTCCAGCAGACCCCGAGGATCCCCACGTGCTTGGTGAGACCACAAAGCAGCCACCGTATGAGATGGCAACGGGGCTCCTGCAAAGCCGTGGAGCATCGAAGCGCTTGCAGGAAAAGGTGATGGGGATGGGGGTAGAGCAGGGTGTGGGGTGGACACGGCCGCTGCCTTGTCCCACCAAGCCTCATGGCACTGCCACTGCATCAGCGTGCCCATGTCCTCTGACTGATGGATGGGCCACCCTGCAAGGTTTGGGTATGGCTGGAAAGCTGCTCCAGTGTAGAAATATTGGATTAAAAGTATCTAGTCCCTATTTTACCACTATTTCGAGGTGCTGCCCAAACACTGGCAAATCACTGTGCCAACACCTCCCATCCCCTCATGCCACCAGTGACAAAAACAGCTTTAAAAGGCTGCAATATCCACCTCGTCCTTTATGCTAAGTAACAGAAAACAGTCCAAACTCAACGATATTTAGTAAATAGGAGCAGGGAAAAAAATAAGAAGAAAGAAAAAGAAAGAAAAGAACTGGAAGAAAAATGAGTCAGAATAAAATTCCCAAGAGGCAGCGCTGGCTGGTGTTGGCATAATTTTAAGGAACATTCTTATTTTTAAAAAGTTGATTGATTAAAGCTATTTTTAGTGCCCATACTGCACTGGATCATTCGGGTTCGTTTGCTTATGAATTGTAAAACAAAATGAGGCAGCTGCACTTCAGAAATATATACCTCCCCAGCAGCACCACAAACACGCAGACCAGAAGCAATATTTCAGCCCGAAAGACACCAAGTTGGCACATGGCTTTGGAGATGGGGCAGACGGCAGAGAATTCTTGTTTAACAAAGGATTAGCCCGAGTTACTGGAATAATTGCATCCCACTAGTTTGCTGTAGAATAACCATAATGGGCCTGCAAGCTGGTACCAGCCCCAAATGGACCTTGATCAATGTGCTCTGCTGCTGGGCTGCTGCAGGATGCGCCTTTCTCCCCCAAATGGGAATAATTCCCTTTGCCTTGCACAGCTGGAGACTGGGGAGCTGATTTGGGGAGAGAGCTCCTGGGCTCCCCAGTTCAACAAAGATGAGGAGCTACTGGAGAGAGTCCAGCGGAGGGCTACGAGGATGATGAGGGCACTGGAGCATCTCTCCTACGAGGAAAGGCTGAGGGAGCTGGGCTTGTTCAGCCTGGAGAAAAAAAGGCTGAGAGGGGACTTTAGAAATGCTTATAAATATCTGCAGGGTGGGGGTCAGGAGGACAGGGGCCAGACTCTGTTCAGTGGTGCCCAGTGTCAGGACAAGGGGCAACGGGCACAAACTGAAGCAGAGGAAGCTCCAGCTGAACCCGAGGAAGAACTTCTTCCTTCTGAGGGTGACGGAGCCCTGGGCCAGGCTGCCCAGGGAGGCTCGAGTGAGATATCCCACGCCCGCCTGGACACGGTGCTGTGCAGCCTGCTCTGGGTGACCCTGCTTGGGCAGGGGGTTGGGCTGGGTGACCCACAGAGGTCCCTGCCAACGCCTGCCATGCTGGGATGCTGTGATTCTGTGATCTGGCCTTGCTAGACAATTTTTGGCTGAAGCGCAGCAGGTTGCAGCCCTGGGCTTTCCAGATGTGCCAGATGTGCTACGGCCAGGGCATCCCAAACCTGGAAGACTTCCCCGTTGTGATGTCCGTCATCACACAACGCAGAAACCTTCCTGCAGCTCCCGGGACCCTTGCGCAAACGAAGCTCCCTGCAAACCAGAGACCGGCTGCTGCTGCACGGTGGCTGCGCTCGGTGCCCGGTTTGCCCACGTGCCCTCTGAATGCCTCCTCTTCGCTTTCGGCACTCTGGGCAGCTGGAAACAGCATTTGTGTCAGAGGTATCTGCGCTGAAAGCACTGAGAAGTCGGTGTTTGTCCTGCCAAGGGAAAAGCCACCTGTGTGCAACCAACCCACCGCCGCAAACGGCCAGCGGCCCTCCAGTAACCCCCCCTTACTGACAAATCTTGGTAACGACTGTAACGCAGAGATTAAAGCTTTTTTGCAGATCATTCAACGGCAGTAAGAGGAGGCTAAATCCATCTCCTTATGCACCTTAAATCATTCACCTTGCTCAAGCCAACCGTTCAGAGCCATAATGAACTTAAAAGCAGTTAACTCCCAGTCCTTGTCATGTGCTGCTTGTCAGACAGCTTCATTTTCCCTGCCTGTTGTCACAGCTTTGCGAGGCCGTTCGGAGACAGGCGACGCAGCGAGTCGCAGCTAGCGGGGATTAAGCTTCGAACTAACAGGATGATACAGGCATCAGAGCACCTCGAGGGACGCACACACTCGCGCTGCCTCCTGATGCGGCTCAGTCGATGCAACACTAATCCCCCCCTGTTCTTGGGGCTTTCTGAGCGTAAAAGCAGGATCCGTAAAACCCGATCGCTACCGTTGCTTTTCCCTGCCACGTGCCTCCCCAGCACAAACCCGTCCCGGCGGATCTCGTACCTCCCGAACAAGCTCAGCAGGGAAATCAAGGCGACGCAAGCCATCGCGACGCCCAAACCCACAGGAAAACCTCCCCACGTCAGCCCGCTGGCGTGCATCACCCTGGAGACATCACCTCTCCCACCTCTGTTAAATTAGTGCCCGTTCGTGCCCAGAGTGGTGATAGCAAATGGATTTAGTGTGTCGTTAAGGAGTCCTTAACTGCTCCAAGATGCCCTGCGAGGAAACCAGGCTGTATCGATTAAAGTGACAGCAATGGACGTTGGCACAGCTGGGCTGGGCTGGCTCAGGAGCTGCCCTCTGAAAATTCATTTCTATCATATGAAGGAAAAACATCATCTTAAGTGGTTTAAGTTCTGCAGCTGGAACCCCACAGCCGGACTGAGCCAGAGCAGTCGGGGTTAGTGCGGTTTCCCTGCCAGTCCCGACTGCTCTGAAGCCCTTGAGTGGCGGGTTCAGACCATCCAGGAAAGCCTCCGTTCCTGCCATTTCCACGTCTCAGGATAAAAACCCCGAGAAATTCAAAGCCTCGGTAATTCAAAGGCGCTACTCCCGATCGACGGTGCACAGAGATCTCAGGGCCAGGGCCAGAGGTCAAGTCCCTACCACTTCACCCAAAATAAACCCAAACGATCTCTAAACACATCACCACCCATTCAGCCACCGAATCCTCTAAATCCACCCAAATGAGAGCGTTTCATGCTCACTAAATTCCCAGTCATCATTTACCCAGCAAGGAGACAAGGACAGAAACAGTGTTTTGCCTAGTCCCCTCCGCCTGCGTGACTCACTTGATTAAAATACATACAAGCACCTATCCAAGCAGTGACATGCGAGGGTGAGCAATCAGAGCAGGTAATTGCTTCAGAGAGATGGGTGCGTGGGTGAGACGCCAAATCCTCGGGGAGACGGGTCACGGAGGGCAGAAAGCCGCAGCCGCATCCTCGGGGCGGCTCAATGTCATGGCAACTGGGGGGCTGCAGCTCCGGCTTCCCCAAACGCGGCGG